CAACGAGATGGTTAGACCTCTTCACGAAAGCTCTGAACGAAGGGAATGTTGAACCTCGTGTCCCTGAAGCGAGGACGATTCACTGGACCACTCTGGCTCGTGACAGGGACGAATGGAGACGTTACTGGCGCCCGCTCGAGGAAGTCGATGATCAACGGGACAACAGGTGATACAGGTGATCATGATGTGAAGATCACTTCATGTATTGAGAAGGTTGCTGCCGTTTTGCTCCTCTTTTCTTTACCCGTTCCTCTCCCCGTCCACTGTCCCGTTTTTTGCACACCGTCGAAAAGTGCATTGATGTTGTAAACAACTTTTCTGTCTTCACGCTCGTAGATATATTACCTGAAGGGGATAGGTGTGATTTCAAAAGAAAAAACCCGATCAGATTGTGTAATAATTCATTCCGATAGTGGCCGAGCGCTCCGACAGCCTCCACTACCATCAGCAGCAGCGTCGCTGGCGCCTTCGCCGCGCCCAGGTGTGAGTGATGACGGTGTGTCAATGAGGAGTGTGGGGATCGGGAAGTGTAGGAAGGGAATGGCTGCAATTTATAACTTAGACCCTTTGTTCATCCAAGCACCTAATCACTCTTAAAGAAGATACAGCCTTTTCTATCTTGAAGAAATTGATCGCATTCAATAACCTGTTTATGGAATGGTAGGTAAGTAGGTACTTTCGCTTACCCTTAGATTCAGTTTTCGGGCTAGCCTAAGCCTACGCCCCCTAGATCATTTGTGACATGATTTAATGCAATTAAATGATATAGCTCTCAAATATTGCAGGTTGGTGACGTTTTAGTTGAATGTTCTCTGTGATTTACTCGAATATTCTGAACAAGTTTCTATTTACAATTGTAACTTGTGCTTTTTCATTAGACCGTATATAGCATCTTCAATACCTCTTTTATCGTGCCTTCGGTAAACTTTTGTCTTTACCCCTCACTCTTTACTTTGATATTCCAAGATTTTTGGGAGTGACTATTTTCGACGTTCAAGGCTTCCTGCTTTTTGAAAACGGTCTTGCAATAGTTACAGACAATTTTCTTGGTGTTCTACCTATCCTAATGGTTTGAATGGTCGAACATACTCCATTTGAAACATTTCAGATAACAGTGATAACTCCGGGAATGGAGTTTCAGGTTAAGCAGTAACTAACTAAATTTTGGGCGATCCCACTGGCAATCGAAGAGTTTCTGAGAAAGGTGTCTCTTGAACTTTGCAGGCGTCTGAAATTGCAAGTACCTAACGATCCTTACTTTACATCCTTTCGAGTGGAATTCTCTGATTACAACTTACTATAGTTTTTTCGATGCTCTGATGAATCAAACATTTAGTGCATTGAAGACTCGAATGTCCGACTGATTGTTACGGTTTCTGTTAGTGGGATATAATACACAGAAAGACTCGAGTCTCTGTTCATCGGCTAGCATTTGTCTAATTTACGTTTTCTTTTACACGTCTACTTTACTCTAACTTCAACCGCTTCTCCATGTATTTGTATTTGTCATAATCTAATGTCGTTCATTTAACAGATTTTCTTGCAATCGCATTTCATAAGTTAACTTTGATCACGTCTGTTTGAGTGTCCAGAAGAATACACTCGATCTGTAGCAGCATTTAGCCATACTTCCGGCCCATTGAGCACATCTATAAATGAAGTTTTTCAGCTGTCCGTTTGATTTTGGACATAACTCGAATGCATCGTGGAGAGTAGTCGCAGAGCGTTGTCGCCTTCCGGAAAACGTGCATAGAAGGCCGAACTTTGGAGACAGAAATATCAATAAGCTCACACCTCATATTCTGATCACTACTATTGAGGAGTGATCAAAGGGGGGTGGGGGAATTCTATGGATATTCCTCGCGATTCGGTAAGATATATTACAAATGGAACATTACTTCTGAAAATACTACCGTTTGCCAGTGCTAGTTCAGAGGGATTCTCATGATTATGATGCTCGTACAACGATGCAACCGTCACTAGAACCATCTTCTCGAGCATCACAGCTCAATATGCAAAAGAATCCAGTGATAAGTTCTGACTTCAAAGTCCAAATGTGGCAGAATCGGCCATTTGACAGTGGTGTGCACACTATGGTCCATAGCCAGGTAGATACTCAGAATAAAGTCCACTATCCCTCTAACGGCTTTGTATAAACTAGTGAATTCCAGACGCCATCAGTTATGTCAATGACGTCAACTCGTGCTGGTTCACGAATCTCCACTATGTCCTCCCTTGTCGACGCCGATACAGCTGAACTAACTGACCAGGTAAACAAATAAGAAGAAGCCTAAAGGCCAATGCATGGAAACAATGCTGCACTTTTCCCACCTATACGCCACGGCTTATTAATAATTGGGCTCGCAACCGAGTACGACTATTTTCAGCAACAGCAGAAATTCGAAAATATATCTTTGGCCCTGTGCCCAACGCATCCGGAATATGCGAATGCAGAAGGAGTGATTCCTGAACTGATCAATCTCATGAAGGACAGCGATGAGGTTAGAATGGAACAGCGGCGGTCACATCAAATGCTATATGCAGCAAAACTTTTTCCTGACCTGTTTAGGTGGTGGTATACAAAGCGTTATTCATCATGCAGAATATCGCGAAACTGGACGCCGACATTTCGAGAACTCCTAATGCTCGAATTCGTGGCGAGGGCGCAGTGACGGCTATTGTTAATGTGTTGCAAGAACATCGTGATAGCCCTGTAAGGATTTGTATCCGGTAGTGTGGAGAGAATTGCAGATTTTAGAGGAATCTCAAACAACGATGCATGACTTGATCTACACATTACTTTAGAATATCATTCGTATGGCATTAGGGACGTTGTTCCAAATTTGTATAAGAGCAGATGGTCTAGAGGATGTCGCTCGTGTAAATGGGCAATGCAACGGTGAATTGATTCGAGCACTCATTGATCATGCCAGGTTAGCCGTGGTTACATTAAAAAAAAAGAGTGGGATGGTACTCCTCATGTGATCTAGACCCTCCTCTCTGAGCTTCAGACCGAATTTTTATCACATTCGAAATCAATTACATGATATTTGAAGCCACTTTAAGAACTTGTGACTGCACAATAAATCGGTACTGGCCTTTGTCAGTTGGTCGATACTAATAAAATATAACGAAACCAGGCGGCCACGCACACTATCGCGTGCGCTAGGGGCTCTAGCCATGAGAGACGGAGCCAGCTGATTTTGATTATAGGTCTTTATCGGATTCATGAGTTTCAAACCTCCTGCCACCCACCATGAGTGTTCCCATCCCGCCGCCTATACTTCTTCCAACTTTGAAATTCCTAGGTCCACGGGGACAGGAGTTACGAATTTCCCAAATGTTTCCATAAAGCATTGCAATCTGGAGAACGCCCGTCCATCAGGGTGGGTCTCCCCAGTTCGATCTAACTGACCAATGCACACGTCTAGCCACCATTAAACTCTAGTTTTGAAGCCTCTTGTGACTGAATTTGAAATCATAGTCCTCAGTACAGCTCATTTCGATGAACGCCACGCCCACTGTGGGCGGGGCTCCGCCAAGCTTATGTGTGCTTTATACTTCTCGGGACATGGCCCACCTATCCCACGCTTGACCCAGTCTATCCAGGCAGATCTGAAGGAACTAAGGAATTTCGTGACAGACATACATGACGACAGACGACAGACAGACGACAGACAGACGACAGACGATGGACGAAGCGCTTTATAGCAAGTAGGATTGAAATCATATCTCATACACTAGTCGGATCGCCCGGCTTACGCCGAGATCTCCTTCTTTTATGTTGACGTTGATATAGCTCACTGAAGTCTACCATTACTCCTTCTCTTTTCTTCTAAAGAAAAAATAAGCTGCAGCCTAATATCGAGTTGTTCAAATCAACTCTTGTCGAAATCGGCCACCATTATCGTCGCTGAGTTTGCACTTATATTCTCACCATATCTCTTCAATTTTTATAGAGTTGGAACACTATGCGAATGACGGGAACAAAATAGCGGTCAGTGGCTTAGTTACGCATCACCAATATAGCACTTCGGTCTGCCGGCCAAAGTCAACACGGTGTGAATCCTATCACATGGAATGCTTCGTGTCTAAAGAGAGCAAAGTCGTGAAATGAAGGTGCATAATTCGGAAGTCTTTTGAATAGGGGTGCCGGTATTGGATTCCCGTAGCATCTCTGTCCCAGCCCAGTCCTGCCGCCCACCATTAGTGCTCTCATTCTGACGCCCGCACATTTTCTGAACTTGGACGCTTCCGCGGCTCTCAAGGAATAAATCCCGCACACACTCCTCCCAGTGGGCGGAATCTTCACCTGCCATCTGCTATTGGTGTCTCCATCCTGCCGTCTGCACTCTTTGCATCTTCGAACGCATTAGCTCCAGAGGAGCTATTTTCGCGCATATCTTATTCCCAGTGAGCGGAGTCTACACCTGGTACCCGCTATTAGTGTTACCATCCTGCCATAAACACCCTATACAATATGCAGGCACTATCTTTAAAGGAGCATTTGTTGCACAAACGCCTCCTCTTGTACAGCTACCGCCTATTACTTATCAAGGTTCTCATTCTTCCATCTGTATCCTTTCAAACTGAGCGGTTTAGATCAAAGAAACTAATTCTGCGCACGCTAATAGTAGGCAAGGCCCAGCTTGGGTCATGTATTCCAGTGTAGCTCAGCTCATTCCCCTTTGGTACCAACTTGGCTGAGATAATTCAGTTGAATTTCAGGAATCATGATATAAAGCGTTGACAAACTAACAGACTGTGGTTTATATACTCTCCAGTCGGATCGCCCGACTAATGCTGGGCTATCCTCGTGTAAAGTTGACGTACCGCTCAAATAACTGTCAAATTTGGACGCTACGGTACAAGAGAACAGAAATTATAAATTTCCGGCCAAACACACACATACACGCGCACACACGCACATACATGCATACACAAGCCTTTCATCACTAGTTTCCTCTTCTTGGGAAAAAATTAGTAGTAAGTAGCGGTCCCATATCGAGTAGTACAAATTGAAGGTGGTCAAGGTCGGCTGCCATTATCGATCCATGCCATTGCCATGTGTTTACAGCTAGACCACCTAAGCTACCCTAAACTTCCTCAGAGTTGGAGCACCACTGCTCAAATGAGCAAAGTGGCACTGATCGGTCACTTGCACAAGAGATAGGCATCGCAAAGCGGTGTTTTGTGCAACATCTCCGAGGCGTGAATCATACCACATGCAAATACCCAGATCTGAAGGGAGTACAGCTGCGAATTGAAGTGCATGATCCTGAGAGCTCCTAACAGGATTGTTGGCTTCGGACTCTACATTCTCCCCGATGTCCATCCCCGCCGCTTGAATTCCTTCTAAGTTTGAACACTCCGAGTCCAAAGGAAATATTTTTGCATGTCGCACCCCCAGTGAGCGGGGCACCTGCCATTATGCTCCCATCATGCCGCCTGTATCCCTTCTAAACTTGATAAGCGATTCTCGTGCATGCCCCACCCCGAGTGGACGCCACTTGTCTAGTCCTGCCACCTAGCGGAAGTGTTTCCATCCTGCCTGTACTCCTATAAAATTGTTACGGTCCAGTCAGTCCAGGTTACAGTCATAGGAATTGTGGACATCCGTTGAAATCACTCTTATCGCACGTAGCGTCCTTAATGTGTGAAGCCGCTTGGATCATGATTTCCGGGTAGCTCTACTCATTCCCTCTTGTGTCAACCTGGCTAATCTGTTTCGCTACAATTTCTGGGAGGCACTATATAAGGTAGTTATAAACACATCGGGAGACAAATAGATACGGACATTTGCGGCTTATATATAGATCGGGCCGCCTTGCCATTTCACTCTTCTTCCACCTTCAGTCATGTCATCTGCCATCAGCACTCCCTTATGCCCCGTGTACCACTATCAAATTTGGATGGCATTGATCCAAGTTACCAATATCCTCGCACGCTCCACCCCTTTGGAGAAGTCTAGTCGCACCACCGCTCATTCTAACGACCCCAAAACTCCTACTAAAATTGCCCACTCTTCCTCCACCCCATCTATTGCAGATCTTACCACCCACTCAAAGGTGTCTTTAGCTCCTAGAACTCTCCACTCTGAACCGGTTTATGGAGAAAAGACGAAAAGGACGCGGTATTTGTGTGGATTTTCTAAGTTCCTACGGCGAGTACTGATCAAATTACAACACCAACCCTGAATGTTAGATATTTCTTCTGCATTTTTATAGCTAGGCCGCTTTTATTTTTTGTTCTGGAATGCTATACGGCTCCGTACCTCAAGCTATACAGAATGGTAAACAAAAACTTGAAAAAAATCAGTTCGATCATGAGTTCCTGCAGGCACGTTAACAGTAACGATGCTACTGCTGACACCCTATAGCCATAACAAGGTATTCGCAATGAATGAAAGAATTCAGTAGATTGTTACAAAGGTTCTATCCTGAAGCTGAAGCCAAATCGTATTGTCGCCTTTATTAGATTACACTGATGATTTTGATACTTTTTTTGAGTCAGTGAAGTCCCAGTGAATGATTCGCTTGTCTTCGTAAATAACACCATCCTCAAGGTTATGTACAATCAATGCTAATCTCGTACCCTTATAAAAAAAGGATTGGTGCGGAAAGCTAGGAACACTCCCACTGTGCAAATTCTTCATGCCAAGGCAAGATGAGTAAAATTGAATAAGTTATATTGATAATGGGCTAAAAGGCACAGTTCACGATAAAAATGGTTTCTGAGATTCCCCACAGGAT